GCATAGGAAAAAATTTCTTCACTGACACTCTCATGCTGAAAAAATGGAAACAATTTCAGTAGAAATAACGCACTGTCAGCTGCTCTGGCCTTGTGGAAATCATGAGAACTAGCCCTCTTTTGGATTTCCTCATATGATAACTCCCAAGTTCCATAGACACTTTTGTTATATTTAGATGCCCCAGTGAATTCAGAATGTGATAACAATGTCTCTCGATGATGGATATATTTATCAAGATAGTCTCCAATGTTAGAAGCTCCAGAAGCAATAAATGCACCAGCCTGATCAACAGCAAGAGGTAAACAACATAGCTCTGTCACAACCATAGAAGCTTCAGCTTTAAAATCCATACTCAAACAGCTAGCTTTCAGAAGTAGTACAATAGCATCCCTTTCTTCCAACTGTGTCACCTCAAGAGAATTCTCTTGCAAAGTCAAGCATTGCATGCTAGCATTGCGACTAGTGATCAGAATGTTTCCCCATCTACCAGGTGGAAAATATCCCTCTAGCTCAGCAGGAGATAGAACATCAGCATTATCAAAGACCATGAGATAGTTCTCTTTCAGAGAGCCAATCCAGTGCAGAGCAGATTCAGGTGACCCATTCAATACCAAAGCCTTAGCTTCAGGAAGAAGACAAATGCCCTTAAGCCCCTGTAGAATGCTGCCAGCAGAAGATGCATCAATCCAGAAAACAGTATAAAATCTGGGGGTAGCAGCCTTCAGCAACAAAGATCAGGCACATGTGATAATGTGCTCACTCATCAGACATTTCCTCAATAAACTTCAAACAAATTTGAGTCTTTCCAATACCTCCCATTCCATGCAGTAGAAAGTACTTTCTTTTCTGAACACCATCCGTGGAATTAGCGAAAAAATGTTCCTTGAGTTTTTTGATAATCTCCATTCGACCTGTGAACCGAGTGCTCGGGTTTGGCACAAGGGGGATTACCGCATCAGATATCGCTAAGTTGTTATAGATGTTTATCTGCGAGAAATCCAGGCCATCAGCTTGCTCTACGAACTAGAACCCGACAGATTCACGCACGGTGCTGGCTGCATAGATTGTGCCGCTCACGACAACGTCACGAGCGCCCGGAAAAATATTCGTTTCGCTCATGCTCAGGTGGAGAAGACACTGGTAGATGGAAGGAATCTGAAGTGGGCGAAGGAAAGAAACGAGTACCTGACGCCCGGAGACCCCCAATACTTCCACGTGTTGAGCACACCTTTCAATCTCAGACATGATGACGATGTTTGTTAGGAATTCCGTTTGTGCTGGAGTTGCCCTCTCTCAGTCGCACAATCAAATGGCAACCTCACGGACCTCTACATACAAGCAGAAGGGTGACCTGGTCTACGGTTGAAGAGAAAAGCATCTCAACTGACTTCTTCCCCTTCGACCGAAACGAAGAAACACAAGATTCCGAACGTACCGGCTCCCTAAGGTTCCATCTACTTCATTTCAAGTGTGCTGCGGTGCTGACACGCTTCACAGTCAATAATGCCTCTACACCTCCTCAGTCCATCCCTGCGACGCGTGCACGGACCCTCTACCTCGACCATCCATCCCTTACACGCGCTTTTGACCCACTTCTGCTCACGACAGGATCTACGACGAGGAAATACCGCGAGGAGCTGCCCAAGATCCTGATGAACGGTGTTGGCGTGGGGGAAATGGAGAGGCGGTGTCGCATGAAAAGGCCGAGGAGGAGGACCGGACGTGGACTCGCCCAACACCTCCACCACCTTCGGAACCGTCAAAGAAACGCAAGCGGTCTGTTCGTCCGCAGCCGGCTGTCCCCGTTCTCACCTTGGAAGTCCATCTGAAAGTCTTCATGGACAAACTGCCGCTGTGACAGTTAGCCGTCAGTTTGGCTTGTCAAGCAAGTTGCGCGGTACAACGGACGAACGCGACTGGATGCAGATATTCCGCGAAGACATTACTGAGCCTCAGTACGTTTTTTGTCCCCTCAAAAATCGTACCAAACTGATTCTGGGCCTCAAATCAGGTGCAAGGCGGTACTACCAGACCAATGTGCCACCTCCCCAGCCACCGAACGATCCCTCTACCCTAACCGCTGACCGTCCTCCGCCCTATCTACTTCCAGACAGCATTCCCCGGCACTTTCCACGGCTTCAGGCCGCAGTAACGCAAAGAAGCCACACGCGGCTACACTTGCTCGCTGTCGTTCCCCGTCCACATCTCTCGAGCAGAAACGAAGGGAGAGAAGGAACGCGCGGGGAGTGTGGAAGTTAACAAGAAACGCGTGTTTAAACGCGAGGTTAGCATGCCGCGGGTGCTCAAGCCCAAGCTGAAGATACAGCGGACAGAGGTCAAGGGGTTGGGGGTTGGGCAAGGGAAGGAGAAGGCGGGTGGGAAAACGAGCCCGAGGGACGTGGGCGTGACTTTGGTGGAGGAACCGTGTGCGAGGTCTTCTTCGCAGTCTCAATTGCCATTCCAGCTGAACCCACAACTGGCAGTCAACGACAAGCGACTGGACGGCCTGCTTCGTCGTCATCTAGGGCTGGGGGCCTGTTTTCTCATCTCGAGGCTAGAGACTACAGTCTCCTCCTAAGATGGATTGCAGTTACAAAGACCATGCTGTTCGATAACACCCCGTCGAACACCTCGGCTAAATTTCAGCTGCGGGAAAGTTCATCTCCACCCGCATAAAGGTCCCAAGAAGCCCCAAATCCAGACCCCGGACACACACTGGAACGAAAGCGGCCAAAACCTCTCAGCATGCTCCCTCTTGACGTCTTAACGCATTTCCCGTTGCTTCAACACCTACCGATAGACGCGTTCACAGCATACAGCGCTTATTCTGCGGATGCTGAGGACGACACTAACTTTACGATACCCGTCGACATGAGCCTTGGCGTACCCAACTGCACCTGTTCCAGTTAATCGACAAGTTTGGCTTTCAGTCCTTACGGTAACTTAGGCATTTTATCTTTCTTTTTCGGCGTCGTCTTCCGATTCTTCTTGTGTCATCATTATCAGCTTCTTTTTGGACAGTCCTCTTTTTTTTCCCGAGTCACTGGCGGCGTGTTCAATACTTACCATTTTGTTCTGTCACGCATTGCTTTTGATAGAGGTTTCCTTCTGCATACTTACCCCTTTTTTGCTTATAATGCAAGTCTCTTGCCCGTCTATTAGTCTCGATACCAGCCGTTATGGATATGTACACTATTGGGGTGTAATTATATACCATAACGTCTGGAAGGACTTTATCAGTACGTGACAGAGAACTTTTTCAAGCTCCGACATCACCTCAAAGAGGAAATTTACGACACGTGCTTTCGTTGATGATCGAGGCGCGTCCGTTGAGCACCTCTCCACCTCGATTTCTATGAGCGGAAGCAAGTGTGCTCACGACGAGAACCTACCAGCTACTCCACAGAACCGTTCCTTTACATTTGTCGATGGCTTCGCACCCAAAAAACCGCGTCTTTCTGCCAAGAACGCCCGCCAATTTACCTCTCAAGAAATACAGAACATTCAACGAGATCGCGAAGCCCAACGGCTAACGCAAGCGAGGGAGAAGGAAGAGTTGGTGGCTAGGAAGAAGGAGGAGCTTGATGTTGAGCAGCTGAAAGTGGTTTGGCAGAGTATCCGAGGTGCAGGTTTCAAATCCTTGCATGACTACCTACACACCCTCTTCCATACCAGAGACCCCGTCCTTTCCGCTCAAGTCTCACGGATCCGAACTCCTCGACTCTATTCACGCATGCCATCCAGATATGGCCATCGATTGGGCCCTGAGTACTACCGCTGAACGTATCGAATCCGAGTGGAAGGTCCTCGTTAGGGAGTTCCAACCTGGCCAGGGTGCTCCGATTACGGACATTCTCGCGAGGTTCTCACTGCAGCGGGTTCTTGCACAAACACAGGTTCTTGCCCCGACACTATACGACCTTTTACAGCGGGTCAGTGGATCACACGAGTCCACTTCAGTACATAAGGACCGCAACCTGGTGAGTTCTCGCTAAAAGGTCAATTTATATGAACTCTTATTAACTTATGATTGTAGATAGTGGCAACTACAATTTGCATGCTCGTCAAGTCACGCAATGACCACGCGTCCAAGTTCCAAACGACGATGTGCATGTATTTTCTCGCATGCGGTGCGTCACGGTCACTTTTCGACGTTCTCAACCACGCCGGTCTCACCCTTTCCTATGCGCAGGCTGTTGCTAAACTCAAGCAGCTCGGGGCAGAGCGTCTTGAGGAAATGCCCACCGTTTCACATACCCAGGCTGTGATGATTATCTGGGATAATCTGAACATCGCCTTCAATGTGACGGAACAACGTCATGATTCGAAGGCACATTTTGACAACGGGACGACAGCCACCCTCATCCCCCTTTTCGGGGTCGAGTTCCCCACATAGAACCGCGCGTGGAACATCAAGTTGTCATTCAAATGGTCGCTTGTGGAAAATCTGGTTTGCATTCTCCACCAGCTTCCCAATATCTATTTCTTCTGGTTTGTAGGAGCGAACCTTCGAGAGGGAAACCATGTTGAGGCGTGAATAGATAGGGAGAGGGATTAGGAGTCACTGATTGAATTGGGGTCTCAGGTGATGAATAATACTGAAGATATACAAATGACGGAGGTGTACCGTTGTACATAAATTAAATTATCCTATGCCTGAACCATTTGAGGACTTCTTAAGCTCATTTTATATGTTTGTGGTCAATATACTAGCATCCGGCGTGTACGCGACGCGAACGCGTTCGCCGTTAATGGGTGCGCACGTGCGGATTTCTTTCCTTTTACAGGTGATGTCGGGGTTTGAAAAAGTTCTCTCCTTGGTCGTGATGAAGTCCTACCAGTCTCCATGGTAGTAATTACCCTAGGCTCGACACCAGCCGTTATTTCAAACTCCGATCGTCGTTGAAGTAACGGCTGGTCTAACCTGTTGTCACTTTGGCGGGTCACGCATTTGTGACAAAAGACTTAGCGAAATTTCGATGAACGACGCGCAAACAACCTTAGTAAACTTCGTTGAAGACACTGCTAAGCTCGATTTCTGGTGCTTCCTCCTCCCAGTCACCTTCAAGATACTCCCGATCATCCTCTGCATCCATACTGCCCCCTATATCCATATCAAATGCGACATCTTCAATCCCCAACCTCTCCAACGTCACGTCACCATCATCTAAATCCAACATTGAATCCTCAAAGTCAACCTCCTCGCCACCTTCGCCCTCGCCCTCACTATCCACACCCGCCAAACTGATCACCTCAGGAGCGACTGCTACAGGTGGAATGACGTGTGAATCGTCAGGTTGGTCATGAGAAATTGCAGGGGTGGTTCGGGAGAGAGGTTCTGGTTCCACGATGGGGTTGGTGCTGCGTCGGTTTTGAAGGTGTTTGAAGGCCTTGTTGTACTCTGCCAGAGGATTGGAAGAACCGTCTGTAAGCTGTTGAAGTCCAACTGAAACCACATCTGGCACCGGAAAGTCGTCATTGTCCAGTATGCGGCCTTTCGTCAAATGGTAAACCTTGTGCTCGAAAAGGGAATCCATAAGAATTGTGATGTCTTTTGTGAGATCGGCAGGTGCATGCCGTGCTCCAATATCTGTCCCGAGCATATCTTTCATGGTCGTGGTGATATGGCGCAACGCGTTGACACATGGTGAGACCATTTCAAGCCATTCCCATGACCTGTTGCTCCCATGGGCTTTGTAGAAGGTCTGTTGTAGATATCAGTGTCCTAGGCGCTAGTCAGAAAAGGTAGAGACTCAGACCTTAATCCAGAAATTCATATGTTCTTGAACCAAATCAACCTCCACGAAGCTATTAGGTTTGCCGGTGGGATTCAGTAGCCAGTTGTTAAGGATGACCTCACTAAACAGGGTTGAATAAAATACTGGACAATGTTTCAAAAGAGCTCACCAGAGTTTCTTGGGCCAGACATGGGTAAGATTATGAATCAAATGTAGCATCTCATATGCGTACTTTGTGCGCCCATTACCACAAAAACTAAGGGCCCAAACTTTGAGGACAAGAAGGGCCCGACCAGAATCTCCACTCTTCACAGCATCAGTGAACTCTCTCGAGATAAGGGCATCACGCAAAAAAAGGAGTGCATTCTCGAAGACCATGTCACCCTCAGACCTTGCAGAAGGGGTTTCTTGTACTTGGGTCCCAGAGCGCTGCCACCGCAGCTCGTCTACAATCTTCGGGTTTGCGTAACAGTCAAGGATCTGTGTAGCATGTGACTGTAGATTGTCGAGTGTGTCCACGTTGGCGCTGTAATCCGCAAGCGATTTGCAACCTGAGACCAGCAAAAGACAATGAAGAACTCGTGCATATAAAGACACGAAAATGAGATCATGGCATACTCGGAATGTGGGTAAAGAAGTCACTGAGATTGGAAGACGGTGGAGTTGGGTGTTGTGGAATGCGAGGCAGCCAGGATTGCGTGTACCTGCATTCGGTTTACCCCAATGCGTGACGAAGAAACCATGCATGTTCGCAATCTTCCCATGGAATAACCCAGGCATCCATGCACCCCATCCAAAACTTGAATATCCTCCCTCATGTCCTGCCCTTATATTGGCAAGTGCCCGAAGTCGCGCAATTGATAATTGATCTCCTGCGAGAATCCGTGTGAGCCGCATCCACATGGTTGACTGATTTCGAAGGTGCAATTCCCGAACGATTGCCGCGTCGACATCGGCATTCCTGACAATAGTGGACTCATCAATCTTCCAAGTCGGTAATGGGTAAAGCTTTGTTTTATGTGTAGGAATTTGCTGGTTGGTCTTTGGGAGGGATTTGTTGAGGTCAGACTGGAATTTTTCGAAACCTTCACCACCATGGCTGACAATGATGCGCATGATACAATGAACAATGCATTTCCGGAACAATTGCGACTCTTCCCGTGTATGGAGGATGTCAGTGATGGATAAGGGAGGGGCAACATTGAATGACTGATGAAGACACTAGTGGCTACCACTTTATTTCTATAACCTAGACCCAAGCCTAGAGGGTCATTTCTATAACTTAGACTTAAGCCTAGAGGCCATATCTATAATGCTTAGGATTTTTTGAAAGGCATTTCAAATGTAGGCCTGGGTATTTCATAGTGAATTTTCCATAGATACCCAGTGCATTTTCTGCGAAGTTTCAAATGCAGCCCTGGATATTTCATTGTGATTTTTCAATAGATACCCTTGGTATTTCATTGCGATTTTTCAATAGATACCCTGGGCATTTCATTGCGATTTTTCAAATGTATCCCTGGGTATTTCATTGCGATTTTTCAAATGTATTCCTGGGTATTTCATTGCGATTTTTCAAATGTATTCCTGGGTATTTCATTGCGATTTTTCAATAGATACCCTGGGCATTTCATTGCGATTTTTCAAATGTATCCCTGGATATTTCATTGCAAAATTTCAATGGATACCTGGTGAATTTCATTGTGATTTTTCAATGGATACCCTGGGCATTTCATTGCGATTTTTCAAATGTATCCCTGGGTATTTCATTACGATTTTTCAATAGATACCCTGGGCATTTCATTGCGATTTTTCAAATGTATCCCTGGGTATTTCATTGCGATTTTTCAAATGTATTCCTGGGTATTTCATTACGATTTTTCAATAGATACCCAGGGCATATCATTGCGATTTTTCAAATGTATCGGATATTTCGTTGCAAAATTTCAATGGATACCTGGCACATTTCATTGCGATTTTTCAATAGATACCCTGGGCATTTCATTGCGATTTTTCAAATGTATCCCTGGGTATTTCATTGCGATTTTTCAAATGTATCCCTGGGTATTTCATTGCGATTTTTCAATAGATACCCTGGGCATATCATTGCGATTTTTCAAATGTATCCCTTGGTATTTCATTGCGATTTTTCAATAGATACCCTTGGCATTTCATTGCGATTTTTCAAATGTATCCCTGGGTATTTCATTGCAAAATTTCAAATGTAGCCCTGGGCATTTCATTGCGATTTTTCAAATGTATCCCTGGATATTTCATTGCAATTTTTCAAATGTATCCCACATGTCAGGGTCCATGCAATGGGCTTCCCTGGATGGTGCTCACATGACCAATTACCAAAAATGGTCAAAAAACGAAAGTTGTAGCCCTACACTGTAGCTTCCCGAATCTGTTTGAATTATGTTCTGAAGTGCTCCCGTTGTGGATATATGAGGTAAAGGAATTTCAAAAGCATCGCTTTTTTTTTTTTTTTGTGTTTTTCTCTATGAAAACAAAACCAAATAACATGATTTCAGTAAATTCAGAAAGCTAAAAGAAAGGGCTACAATTATTGTATCGTGGGAAAATGACCAAAAAAGGAAGGTGCATCCTGTACTATAAGAATCAGATAT